GGAGCCTGATGCGGGACTTGATCCCGGGACTCCAGGATCATGACCTGAGCCGAAGGCAGTCGCCTAACCAACTGAGCCACCCAGGCGCCCCAACAATGATTGCTTTAATGGGTGATTGGAATTGATGAACTGAGGTGGGACGGAGCAAATATCATTGCAGGTACCTTAAAGGAACTAACAGTCTAGGACATTGGATGAATTACCTGCATGGATATTATAATTATCAAGATTAATCATAGAGGTAATTGGAAAGGAAGTGATCCCCAGGTGTGCTAATATCTTCAGTTAATGTGGGAATATGACAGAAAACTTCAAGAAGAGGGTAGTAAGTGGATATCTGTTAACACTTGCTTCAAGGGTGCTAGATTATTTAAATCTGGAAATTAGACCTATTAAAAAATCACACGCAAAAAACTATGAAAATGTGATCATTAGAATAAGACCAATAATAGTGACAGAAGTTTCAGCTCTTCAATTCATATTTTTTATAATTCCTTAAATATGTAGTCATCTGTTTTGTAACAGAGAGACCACTGGATTGCACACAACAAATACAATAAGTAAAAATTTGACTTGAAATTATAAACGATATGGTTTTAGTCATTCTTCATTTTGTCCAGCTGCCCAGAAAATTCAGAGAAATCTCTAAATATTTTTGATAATTTGATACAGAAAAGATGAAAACAGAAAACACTTCATTTCTTCCTTGTGGTACCAATCTTTACCCACCAGGATTGTTGGACTGGGCATCCATAGGAATCATAAGCTTGGCCCGAGTGGCTCGACGTGCAGCCAGTGACCTTTCCAGAGTGGACATGGAGCTCCCTGCTTCTTCAGTGTCTTGACCTACAAGAAAAACAATATTCCTGAGAGACACACCTTCTTCAATGATGAAATATTTTACATAATTTTTAGCTAGGCACACCGATGCTTTTTTCATTTTATTGAGTTTTTAAATAATTATATCTACTTTTCTGGTTACCCAATCAATATAATATAGTCTCACTGCACAAACATTAGTAAAATTTAGCATAACCCCGTTACTCAGAAAGAACCATTATTTATATTTTGTTCTTTACAAGGTTTGCCTATGTGTTCATATGTGAAAGTGAGAAAGTATACATATTTTGTACTTAAGTGACATTTACCATACATACTATTTTGTTACCTTCTTAGGAAAATACTATGAACATCTTTTTCTGTCAAGTCAGTTTTATAATATGTATTTATTTATTTAAAACCACTCATATTTCTATATTCATGAGCACCACCCATTTTATTTATTTTATTTTATTTTATTTTTTTAAGTACACTATATGCCCAGTGTGGGACTTGAACTCACGACTCCAAGATCAAGAGTCACATGTTCTACTGACTGAGCCAGCCAGGTGCCCCAGTTTTATCATCTTTAACAGTTCCATAAATGTCCTGTTGTATGAATTTACTACAATTTAATCAACTATTACTTAAGGCCCAAAGGCATTATATCTTATTATAAAAACACAGGAAATGAACTATATTTTTCAAAAGTAAGGCTAGGTCTATTTATATAAATTTATTATGATTCCATAAAATACCACACTGAAGAGTCATCAAAAATAATAAAAAACAATGATATGTGTAGATTTAAAATGTTAACAAAAATATATGTTGAGAACAATAAAACTGAAGTTCTGAAGAGTATCATATATGCCCATTTGTGTAATATACATATAAAAGCATATTGTGTATATACACATTTCTGTGTGTGCATACATATATAAACATATATGTGTATATAATACATGTATATGTGGGTTATATATTTGTATACAATATATAATATATATGTGTGTTTATATATCTGTATAAATGTGTGTGCATATATATCTGTATAGAAAGGTTACACACAAAATTCTCAACATTGCCTTCCTTTTGTGAAAAGGATAAGGAATTTGGGGATGGTGAAAAGGCAAACATACTTTTAATTCCTTTGGGTATTATTTTTCACAACTTTTTGTACTATATTCTTTCTTTTAAAATTACATACATGTATTCTTTTTTTGGTTAAAATAGTAGTTAATAAAATTCAAAATTTAAAATAATGCTGTGGGAAATTTCTACACAGCCAAGATAATGACAACTGCCTAGATCTGAATCTCTCCACACATCCTCCAAAAAACTATACAGACCATATAAGACAATAAAACTCTGCAAATTATACCCCTACAGCACAACTAAAAGAGAGAACACAACAAACTTTGAATCTTCCAAAAGTACAGAAGTAAATAATATTTTCCAGTCAAGCTATGACTCAAGTTGCTGCCATAAAGTCTTTGTGGGAAGTTGAATATTTGAGAAAACTATACAAAAGAGACAAGAGGGGAATAAGCCTCCTAAGACTGACCTAAAATCATCCACAAAAGGAGAAAGTCTACCCCAAATGTAAAAATATTTTTAAAGTTTCCTAGTAGACCAGAGCACTTAAGAGTATACTATTCATTGACATGGAGTTTTGTTCTTTTAACCAGGAGAGTATAGAGAATGCTTGATATAATGTAAAATATAGTCAGCAGAATTTTGAGTGCTACTTTCCTTTTACTATAGAGTTGGCAAGTAGGTCCTCAAATAAAAACAGAGAGGCACAAGTATCCTCTCATTCTAAAGAAAATAGCCATTGTTTGGAGTTAAGCTTCTCCCAGGACTTATTAAATGATCAGAAGTAGTCTGGCTGCCTCCAAATGTCATTTTAGTGTATAAAAGATAAAGGGAAATGTAAAGAAGGAGAAACCCTAGCAATAATTGGTAAAACCTCCTGAGGGCTGAGAGGCAATTCTATCCCCTTCAGTGGGAGGCAGAACTATGCTATCTTCCTGATGCCCTCTAGGAACCAAAACAGTCAGAATAAGCGTCTGTAAAACATGGAGGTTCCTGCAAAAGAGATCTGCCTTTCATTCATTCTCCAGGTATTAGTCTGCTCAGGCAGCAGGCTTGCTGGTCTACCCTGTGTCTATTTAAACAGAGGAAGAAGTTATTAAAGAGAGCAAGACTGAAAGAAGACCAGGACTGGAGTATAAGCTCTTGCTCTCTCATCATTTGACCTGGCAAAGATGTGGAAACTTCTTCTGGGTCAAGTGAGCATTTGGAAAGTTGCTCAAGCTTGAGTCATCTTCCTGGAATTCACTCAAGTGCAGCTGACCCACCAAAGGACAGTGAGGTTGACATAGCTGTTCCTGGTAGGAGTGGGTTAAGCCTTGACTTGATACCTAACATCATGTAATTGGCCAGTAGAAGAATCTCACAGGGTCTCATAAAGAACTCATACTTGTGTTTCACAAAAGCCCAAGAATTTGGATGTCACATGAAGACAGCCCCTGTACACAAAAAGCAATGCCAAACTTCAAACTATCCTTTCTCCCCTCCCTCCCTGCCTCTCTCCTCTTCATCTTCCCTCCCCATACTCCTATATAGCCAGGAAGAACAGACAAGCAGGGGGAATAAGTAAAGGGGTTTCTGAAACAGACTGTGCCCCTCCTTCTGCCCCACCTCCCCCACTCCATTTCCCTCCAAGGTGCTGGAAGCTTTAAACAACACATTATGACCCAAGTCCTCAGAGCCAAAAGTCTAGCTGGCCATAAGGGAAGGAGAAACTTTAATTTAAATTTCAGATTGCAGTTTTTAATAGAACTAGAATGCAGTTTAACAACTGAAAATAATGGAAAAGTTAGGGAATCTGCTTGAGATATTATTTAAGAGCTAGAAAAAGAATACTCATTAAATTTTACATTTAAAAAAAAATTTCTGTTTTCAACAGAAAATGAAATATCTTACAACAACTTTCTAGATTTCTTAGTTATTCCTGCACATGGATTGTTCTGTACCTATTCATCAAAGAGTAGGCTTTTTTCTTCTGATCACTTGTATATCAACAGAGCCTGCACATAGACTCCACCAAACCAGGCTAGTGATCATATGTGATTGCACAGGGATAAAAGTTGATCTTCACAGTAATCAAGGCTGAAGTAACAGAAGAGTCAATGTGTTCATACGTCATGTGTCCCTAATGTGATTTTTTTAATGCAAGAAATTGAGAGCAAATTTAAAATCAACTTACAATGATCCATAGACATAAGGAATTAAAAAATGTAAAACAGCTTCAAATTTTATTTGACAAAGCTTTCGTTCAAAATTTAACAAAAAGTAATAAACTCATTTGGCTTTCACATTTCGTATTTCCCAAATGTACCACCTGTTACCGCTTAGAAGTTTTAAGAAGCATTGCAACTAAAAAAGGCAGGTAATAGGATGATGGAAAAGAAACTAGTTAATCAACCAAATTTACATCAGATTATTTTAACTATTGGTAAATGACCTGCAGATTGAAGGGAAGGATGCCTCCATCAAAGAGGGAGTGGAAAACTCCCCTGTGGGGTTCAGAATGGGGGGTTTGGATGCCCAAGAGGAGAGAGTTACCTGAATGAGAGGTGCTTTTGCTTCCCAGTTGGGTTTCTGACTGGCTGTGGCTGACTGGTGTGAGGTCTTGGCAACTTTGGATGGGAGAGTCCCTTCCTGTGGGGTCAGTGCCCGATGGCTTCTCGATATTTTTCATCTCCATTTCTTCATGATGTATCCAAAGGTCAGGGGGCCTGAGGTCCTTCTGGCTGCCCTTCCTCTTGCCAACACTGTGGGTGGCCCGCTTCCTATGGAACAAAAAATTAGAAGGCGGTAGTGAGTACCTTTATTCAATGGTCTTTCCTCTCTTTTCTCAGTCAATTCAGGGAAGGATACAAGTGTATCAAGGATACAAGAGTGCTCCCAGGAGGAAACCTATGAAATCCAAGAATTGGCAGGCGTGTCTTGGCTGCCTTTCCTCCCCTCCCCTGGAGCTTCACCACATTATAGGAGCAGTGGTGCTGAATCCCCAAGGCCTAGGCTGCCTGCCAGAGAGTGCCCGACTCTAGCTTCACCAGCTACAAATTTTCACACAAGGTGACAATGGGTTAGATGGAGCCATATGCCAATCTTTGGAGCCAGTCGTAAGGTACTTGACTGCAACATCTGTTTAGGAGATAAATGAAGGAGTTGCTTTGAAAGGGCAAAAGAAATAAAAAGGCCAGAATTTGTGCCAGCCAAGACTGGGGTTTAGAAGAAAGTCCATAGCTCAGCTGTATAAGTTAATGTGCTATTTAAAGACAAAAGGCGGCATGAGGACATTCTAAGGAGAATAAAGCACTTGTGCTTTGGAGTCACTAAGTATCTGGATGCAAACACAGTAAGACCCATCCTTTGAAGAGAGAAGAACACAGTTTAGAAGTAGGCTTCAAATATCTCTTATTTTCCTCTGTAAGAATTTAACAACCATAAATTCATTTTTCAGTGGTAGTCTCTTTTGGGGGCTAGTGAGATTCATATGTTCCCTGCAGGCTAAGTAAAGTAGCATGATATTCCTGCCCACTGTTCTCTATAGTAAGGGTCAGTAAACTATGGCCTGTAGACCAAATCTGCCCACGGCCTGATTTTGTAAATAAAATTTTATTGGAATCCTACTGAGCTCCTTTATTTTCACACTGCAGTGTGTTGAGTAGTTGTAACAAAGACCATGTGTCCCTCATGTCTCACAAAGCCTCAAATATTTACTATTTGCCCCTTTTCAGAAAGTTTCCAACCTCTGCTTTACAGTTCTCTGTTTTTTTGTTTTTTTCAAAAGAATTTATTTATTTATTTTAGACAGAGAGAGAGCAAGCATGAGCGGGGTTCGGGAGGGGGGTGGGGCAGAGAGAGAAGCAGGCTCCTGGCTGAGCGGGGAGCCCAGTGTGGTGCTCGATCCCAGGACCCTGGGATCATGACCTGAGCTGAAGGCGGACGCTTAACCACTGGGATCATGACCTGAGCCAAAGGCAGACGCTTAACCAACAGAGCCACCCAAGCACCCCAACAGTTCTCCATTTTTAAAAATCTCCACTGTAGCTTCTGTTTTTTTTTTTAAGGTAATAATGTCTCTCCTACAACAGAATTCAGATAGTTAAAATCTAACCTCTGATAGAACCCCAGAGAAGTAACTCCCTCTTAGTTCCTCACTTGCAACGAATGGCTTATAAGGATTAACTGTTTTCATGGTTGCTAAATGGTTCAAACAAACCACTTCAGTGAAAACTCTTTGTAACCTGTACAAGGCGACTGCTTTATTTTCCAATGCTGAAAAGGACCTTTATGCATATGAGGCAATTAATGAATGTTTAGTGGTGTGACTTGTTTTTTGTTATTGTTGTTGTTTTGTTTTACATCTTTTGGTCTTTTTTGAAGGATGCTGATAGGGAGAGGAGACAAAGAATGCCAGACTTAATATTTATCGAGTAGTTTAGCAGAGAAACAATGCAGTATTTTCTGTTCTAATGTTTTTCCTACAACTACCTACATTTTGCTGATTTCCTGGCAGCAGTCCCACACTGACTCTAGACAATGGTCTATAATAACCCTTAGATCATTTTCTTGTGTCTAAGATAATAACTCTCTGCTAACCATCCGTTCCCTGAATTCATTTCCTTCTACTTCACCTGCCCACAGGAAACAATCTGCAAGTCACACACAGCTCTTTATGTAATCTACTCCTGGTAACTTCTTAGAACAATTTAATGTCATTTTAGAACTTGGAGATTTCACCCTGTTATCTTTCTAACAAATCAAAATGCTAAATAACTTTTTAATCCCAGTGCCTACAAGGCTGCATACAGAGAAGTACCAGTTCTGACATCCAGGATAAGACAGTCAACCTTTACATAATAACTCAATATTTAAATATCCTGTGGGGGAAAATGTGTCAAATAATCTTTGAAACTAAAAATAAATTATGAATTCTGGTTTCCTCTCATTTACACACATGACTCATTCATTCATTCATTCATTCATTCACCAGCCCCCATAACCTCAGTATGCCAAGCTTCCCCAGAAGTATTTTATTAAAAAAAAAAAATCCCAAACCTGACTGAGGTAGAGCCTTTTTATATGTTGTGATTTATAACCTCCACCTGGGAAAAAATTATCATTCCTGATAAAATGCATACACATTTTTCGATGGATTTTAGTCAGATCAAGACCTTTTCTGAGAAGCTACTCATCCACTCAGCTGTCTTTTATTTTCTCTATAATGTGTCTTCTCAAGAGAGAAATCTTTGACCTTGGAGAGGCCTCCCTTCCCTGCTGGTGGCAGCCCAGCCGCCCATGCAGCAGGTTTGTAATAAAACTGACATCTGCTCATAACTAAATTGCCTGAAATTTGTCTTAAAACCTGCAGGAACATTGTCATCCCAGCCTTCTGTCCATCTGCTGGTTCTCTGACATAATGACTGCTGCCCATTGTGGCCCCCTAGCTCCTCTGTCTCACCACTGGAATCTTCAAAATTTGTATGCAGATGAACCTAATGCAATGGATCCTGAAGTATGGTCCCAGTATCAGCATCACCTGGAAATCTGCTGGAAATGCACGTTGAGATCAGAAACTTGCAGGTGTGGGGGGGATGTTGCGAGAGGGCGAGGCCCAGAAATCTGTGTTTTAACAGCCCTCAGGGATATCACATGCACCTAAAGTTTGAGAAACACTGTTTAAGTGAATTTGGTTTTGTTTTTATTTTAAATTTAGTTTTTGTATTCGATATAGAACATGTCACATGTTCATCCCTCCTAGATGCATGCATCTTTTCTCACAGGTACCAGGTAATCTTTCGGTTTCCAAACACAGCTGTAGGATGGGAGGGTCTCTTCCTACCCCATGAATTCTTGAATAAAGGTTCTCTGTTCACAGCATAATCAAGTGCTGGTGGTTTTTGTTCTCGCTGTCCATCTCTATCTCTCTCCCTATTTCTCTCTCTCCCTCTCTCTCTCTTATCTATCTCACCATACTTTTGCCCAGAATGCCTTTACAATCTTATTTACTTACAAACTACTTACTCTTAAAAGATTTTCTTCAAGCTTCTCTTCTTTAGGAATCCTTCTTGACCATGTAAGTCAGTGTAATCTTAGCATATCTAACTCATATTCCTTGTCTATCTTTAACACTCATCTTGCATTGAGTACTGTCTGTCTTACTGAGCTGGCCAGGTGCTCCCAGTGTTTGAATTGGTTTCCTCATGATACTGGAGCAAATTCTGTTTCTTTCTCTTGTCCAACATCATCCATTGTTTTACAACATTAATTCATGTATTTACTCAGTGAACATTTACAGAATACTGAGTACGTGTCAAGAAATTTGCTAAGCACTAAGAAATGCAAAGATAGGTGAGACATTAGGAGCTTAATAAATGAATGAAAAATGGCATGGATACTGTGAATTCCTGCATTTTTGGAGGAAGGAGAAACCACTGGGACTGGCAGTTGGTAAAGCTGAAAAAGTAGAGACCAAATCATAGGAGACCTTGCCTCCAACAGAAACATTTTTGATAATATCAGGAAGTCAGTGGGGAATTGCAGAAAGATCTTTAGCCAAGAGTTAATCAGATTTGTTACTTTGTATCATGCAGATCACATAGTAAGCACATAGTAATTACTTGAATTAAATAATAAGAATTTTTCATTATCAACTTGGAAAGACTTTTTTGCAAGGTTCTCTGATTCTTTATTGGCCTGTTTCTTACTTTGCACATAACCTGTTACTATAAGAGAAGTTTGTTTCCTTTTCACTTTTAATTGGGATATGAAAGGGTAGAAACCAACACTGGGTTAGGATTCATTTTATTCAGGACTGCGCCCTTTGAAATTCTAAAATACTATCATCTCATAGATTCTTTTGCCACACTGTAATAAATTATTTTTTTACATTGTAATAAATTATTAAATTCCCTTTTGTGCTTAGGCATCCTTTGCTCAAGTTGTTCATAGGAGGCAAATAGCTCTGTACTAATTCTCCTGGTCAGATACACATGTGCCCAAGATTTACTGGGAAGTTAAGGCAAGGACACTTTGCCCCACTGGGGATTTACAGAAGATTTTAGAAAGGAAGAGGGCCTGAACTGAGTGTGAAGAATGATTCAAGTTAACAGGGAAAAAATATATTGGGATGTATAAGTACCTGCCCTACTTCTTCCATCCAAATCTTTCCCAGAGGTTGCCTCTGTGGAATACTAAAAATCTATTAAAATGTTAAAAATTTGAAAAATCAGTGAAATTAGCCTAAACTACAGTAGATTTCATTTAAGAGTTTAAACATTTGATTGTCAGTACTGGAGATAATTATTTTTGTCAAGATTTGAATGTGGACTAATATTTAAAACCTGCTATATACTTTTTAAATCAAATAGAAGGCTTATTCAACTGTTTATTCTATCAAGTGAACCTTGAATTTTATTTACATATTTAAATTGAATGTATTCAGACAAGTTGTTGATTATCTACCCAGGTAACTGCCTTAGAAATGTGATAACCATGTGTCTGGGATTTCCAGGAGGTTCTCAATGTCCCCTATTTTGTCTTTAGTATCTACAGATACATTGTAACTTATCGTGACACATGTTCTATATTTTGGCTAGGAAAATGTTATTATTTAATTAAAAGGCACAGAACCCCTTTCATTTTTCATAAACACATTTTTTCTATATTATGATATTCTACTATAATTTCACTAATTGAAAATGTGTAAGGGAATTCTCTTCAAAGTAGTAAAAAAATTTAAGTTAATAACTAAAAAGAAAGGCAAAATTATTTTTATTTCATATTAATTTGAAGCTAAGTCCTACCATGCAATTCTATAATTTGATAGCATTCCACAGGGAATTTCAACGTTTTAAGATAGAGAGAATGATAGCAAGTAGTTAGCCCTGTTTCTCATTTGAGGAAACCGACATTCAGGGATTAGGTCTTCCTTTAGGCTGATTTAAACACCACTAATTTAATTCAAGAAGTGAGGAATTAGAACTAGAACTTGAGTTCTACCTTCTGTTAGTTACTTTATATTATAAAAATAAAATCTAACCAACTGGAATGTGAATCAATCAGAAAACTACATCATTATTAAATATGTGTGTGTATATATATATGATAAACCATACAATAAAATGTGTGGATACTAACTTGAATTAAGTGTTACCAATAGTACACAAAAATACGTTTCAAATCCATTGGATATAATCAAGAGCCCCGATAAAACACAAAGACAATTTACATTCTCCAGCACCAACAGATGAAGAGATATTGAAGAAGCCCATGAAGGTGTTTCTTATTTCACTTTATTAATTACATTAAACTCTCATTTTTCTGAGAGTTCTGTAAGGGACCTTATTTCTGTCTCAGATTGGAATTGATTTTCCTTTCATCTGCATCACTTAATTTGTTCTAAAAGACTCAGTGGTGGTGGTATCAGGAAGAAGGATCCTCGGTGAAATCAAGAAAAACTAAATTAAATAGGAATAAAATCAGGAATATCTTGAAGGAGAAAAATTTTTCTGTTTTTCCTCTGTTAACATTACAAACAAAGAGACCGAGATGAATGCCAATGGGTCTGTTACAGGAGAAAGATACATGAAGCAAAATCGTGAAAAAATGCCAAGTAAATATTAAGAGACTTTTGGTGAAGGCTGAGGAAAAATCGAAGGGGCAGTAGCACGGGAAGCTATAAATCCACTGTTTTTGGTTTCCAGTCATTCATGGAGTGATTTATTCTTTCATTCATTTCCTAATTTTAAAAACAAGTCATACCCAGGGCTCAGCCTCAACTCTTTCCAAATAAAACCTTCAAGCTCTTAACAAAGTGCTTAGAGGGGGATTTAAGACAATTTAAGAGTTTCTCAAAATAGCATCAAATACCACTTTTGCACTTTGAGAAGACTGGCATTTTCTCTGTGAGGACAAAACGTGCCCAGGAATCCGGTTCATCAGGTCAACATAACCTTCCAACATTCTTCTCACAAGGATGAAAATGGAACAAAACACCCCGCTACATACAGATGGTTTAGTTAATTAAACTTAGCTTAGTGAATGCATCCATGTTTTTAAAGCCCTCATGAAATAGGGTCAGTTTGGCTTTGACGCCTTCCCCACTTCCGTGTCCGTGAATCTTTGTCAGCTCAGCTTCGCAGCCCTGCCACATTGGTGTTCTACCGTTCTGTGTCTGCACAACCCCTTTCCTGGGATAGCTCGACCGAGAGACTGTTGGATGCCTTACTCAGTTGCAGTTCTTTTTTCTCCAGAGCCTCACTGAGTGTGAAGCATGTGGAAGTTCTGTGGGTAATTAGGATTTCCCAGAATGCTAACACACGAGGGTCAGTTAAGCTCAGTTGCCCTGGTTTCTTGTTTAAGCACAATGGATTAGCACACTAGCTAGCACCAACCAGCTGGAAGACAGTCTCACAAATGCAGCCAGGAATAAAATGTGTCCTGCCATATACATCAATTAAATACAAAGACTGCATCGACACCCCTGTGTCACTTTCTTCAGTTTGTACATCTTCCTGTACCCTGTTTCTAAACACTTCAAGAGGTTGGAAGATACAATACCGATCAACAAATGGGTCATAGGATTTTTAAAAAGAGAGAGAATCTAAGATATTAGCAAAGGAGAGGAACAATTATTTGTTAGAGAATCTTTCTCTGACACTGTGTGTATCATACAGTTGTCAAGCCAGCTACCTATAGGCCCATGCCTCAGGCTTCCAGTGCTGGCACCATGCCTGAGGCCAAAGGGGGGAAAAAAAAAATCAAGGGAAGAGCTTATTATAGCCAATTCAGTGAGAAAGTACAGCTGAAAGGGACAAATCAGGCAAGATTCGAAAAGTGCTAGAGGCAGAGAATAACCAGGAGGCCGCTGATTCCCACAACTGGCTGACACAGGTTAATATGCTGATTCTGGATGTTGCTGGCAGCGGATAAGCTGAATTAAAACCATCTTTCCATTCTAAACTTTGATTTTGATGTATCATCCTCTGCATGTGCTATAACCTAGAACTGCATAATGTGAAAATATTTTTAAACCCCTCAAAAAGTTTAATTTCTGAGAATTAACCATAGCCGGGAAATCTGAACTATTCTGAATTTCTAGAATCTCTTCTATCCTAACTACTATCTCCAAACCAAACACTCCACAGTATTGGAACTACATTGAATTTGGTAATCATTCATGCAAAAAGCATCGATTCAATGCCTACAGTCCTCCCTGCCAGAATGGGGAAATACTTTTAGAGGAACACACATCTCCAACATTTTATACATAATTGTACAGAGGGCCATGAATTGGGACCTGATGAAGTCCATTCTCTAAACGCTGCGAAAGGGACACCTGCTCTCGCCTGAAAGGAAGAATCTGGCCCGGAGAAGTAAAATCAAGCAGAAACGCCACGTGGGTCTCCAGGTGGATTCTATTATTAAGTCTGCAAGTCTGGTCCTCAGTCACTCAAGTTATGGACCTGGAATCAACAAAAGGCAAGGTTTTGCTCGGGTCAGAGGATAAGGGATATGTGGTGAATTCCGAAAGAACCCAGGAAGAGACTGTCAAAAATAGAACTCAAGAAGGTGATAGGTCAAGCGGTGACCTCGCTCCTCTTAGGAACCAGCTGTTACCTACTTTCTCTGCTGGGCTGAAGAGCGCCGGGTGCAAATCACAGCCACGATCACTACCACCAGCACTGTGATGACGCCAACGGTGATCACAATGATCACAAGCAGGTTGCTGTTCTTCTGAGGAGTGACACTGCCATGTGGGGGGTGCATCTGGCCAACGGGTGGCTCTGGGAAAAGACAGGCAAATGGCGATCAGATTTAGGGAGATGTGACAGCTTGGTGTTTATCAAGCTGTTAAGGATGTGGAAGTTCCCATTGCTCTGGGCATTCCTAAAGCTGGGGGAGGGGGGGAAGCAATGAAAAATGAGAGGAAAGATCGAAATTATCTACCTAAGATAAATGAAATATATGTCCACACAAAATCTTGTACAGAGACATTCCTAGCAGCATGATTTAGAATAGCCAAAAGTGGAAACAACCCAAATGTCCATTGACTGAAGAATGGATAAACAAAAATGTGGTAGTTCCATACAGGGGAATATTACTCAGCCATAATAAGGAACTGATATGTGATACATGCTACAATATGCATGTGTCTTAAAAACGTTATTCTATGGGGCGCCTGGGTGCCTCAGTCGGTTAAGCGTCTGCCTTCGGCTCAGGTCATGATCCCGGGGTCCTGGGATCGAGTCCCGCATCGGGCTCCCTGCTAGGCGGGGAGCCTGCTTCTCCCTCTGCCTCTGCCTCTTTCTCTCTCTCTCTCTGACTCTCATGAATAAATAAATAAAAAACATAACAAAAAAAAAAAAAACGTTATTCTAAGGGCAACAAGCCAGACACAAAAAGGTCAATATTGTGATTCCACTTATATGAAATATCCAGAATAGGCAAATCTATAGAGACAGAAAGTAGATTAGTGTTTGCCAGTGGATGGGAGGAGTGAATGAGGAAGGACTGAGAATGGGTATAGGTTTTCCCTTGGGGATGGTGAAAATGTTTTGGAATTAGATAGTGGAGCTTGCAGCACAACCTTGTGGATATACTAAAGACCACTGACTTGGTGCACTTTCAGAGGGTGAATTTATGGCATGTGAATTATACCTAAGGTTTTTTTTAGAAAAGAATTAACCTACCATATTGAGTAGAAAGTGGAAAGAGGAGGAAGAAGGCTACTTTGTACTGTGAATATTCCAGGGTGATGAGAATCAAGGAGGCTGTGCTTTATGAGAAAATACTTTTTATTAGATGGTGTGAAAGACAAACTATTTGAAACCAATAGCTCACAATTTATTTCCTTTTTCTTAAAGAAGCTACCTATAAAACACATTTAATTTTCAACCTGTTAAGAATGTATGAATCCCACTTAAAAGCCAATCACTGGGTTTGAAAGAGTGTCATAAAGTCCTGTTATAACTGTTTTCCTGTGTTGCAATAGTACCTCAAGGTAGACAATATTTACATGAAAATAACAGACTAATAAGATATTTTTTATAATTTGCTTATATAAGGGAGAATGGCTAATGACCCTTTAAATTGCTTTCTTTAAATCCTCAGTGATCAATTAGAAATACTATGTTCTATACATCATGTGATTCATTAGAAGTCACAGTGTTTTAAAAAGTAAACATTAGCTTATTTTATTTATCAATTAATTTAAAAAGGAGCAGAAAGCAATGAGTTTGGATGTTTTCCTAGAACGAAGTTTGAATGTGCCTCTTTAACAAGTTATATTAGCATTCTATACCTCCTGAGTGAAATATTTAGGCCTTTGGACCCTTAGTGCCTTTGCCTATAAAATGGAAATAATAATACTTATTATATACAGCTATTGTCAGAATTAGGGAAAATACATACAAAATAATCATCTTAGCATGTGACAGGGAGTAGTATAAGTTCATTATACTACTGAAACATTAAATAAAATGTTGCCTAAATTAATCATCTACCATACCATTTGGGATACTTCTGGTGTAGACTTCCAAACTACAAAATTGTTAGAAATAATACTCAGTGTGAAAAATAAATTAACTTCTCACAAATGAATAGAATAACCCAGTTCTTGCTTCAAAATCAAAACACTATCTTTTGACAGTTATCTAAGAATCATTGCTTTTTTGAAACAATAGTCACCTAAATTTATTTCTGAGTCATTATTATTGGAAAAATATTAAGCACTTCTGATATAACTTGAATCTCAGGGGAGGAACTCAGCAAAAGTGTTTAAATAGCACTTTCTGTTAAAAGATTCTGCTTCTAAGTGAAAGAAATAAGATTTCCTTGAAATAATTTTTACATTTACTACAAAGGAATGAGTCAAGTAATGAAAGGTCAGAACTTTCTGTAGCATAGTTTTACTTACAGTTTAAGAAGTCATTTTACAGTAGTATCTCAATATGCCCTTTCTGTGCTTGATAAATTAATTGATTGGAATAAATTAACCTTTTATGTGAGAACTTACAATGAAGACACTTGGAGATATCATGGATTTTTATTAGCATGACTTAGATTTAACAGTTCACCATTTCTGACCAACTTAGTTTGAGTCCTACAGAGCAGTATACCTTATGAACATTTTTAAAACCTTGTAAACTAGAATTTTTCAAATTTCTACTCATTTTGTCTCTTTCCACCCAGAAAGGCATCACATTTCAAGTCAGAAAGTAATGACTCTGGGCTCTGCTGCACATTAGTGAGATTATATTCGTGCCATTTGCCTCAGAGAGTTAGGGATCATGAGGACTCCCATTATAAATCTTTGAAGCCTTTATGACTTCCTCATAAAAGTTCCTATCAGTTTAAAACTTGGTATTCAAGGCCTTTCATTAATTTCCCAATCTCAATTCGAAGGCTGAGTAATCAGAATATTCGACATCAAATGGGCAGTTCAGAAAGTCAAGTGGAATGGAATTTTTTGGTGTAGTTTACCCTCATTATTTGTAGTAATTTGTTCTATAAAGTTGCTGTAAACACTGAATTAAGGAATACTAAGTATTGCTTCTGGAGGCAATTCAGTGTTCGGTTCCTGGGAGCCTCTGGTTACAACATTTTTATCAGTCAATGCATAGTCGTGTTTTAAGTGTGTTTCTGTTTAAAGACACTTTAATATATAATGTGCATTCATTAACATTGAACTCACAGTCAACAACATTACAACTCATGCTTGAGTGAAGCTTAATTAACAGCCTTTCGCATGTAGGAACACTAAGCAGCATTTCAGCACTACATTTAAGGGCCACTTTAAACACTGAACCCACCATCAAAAAACTCACAAAAATGTGAACAATTGGCACTAAATAAGGACACTTGTTTATACTGTGAGAGCTGAAACAATAAGGCAGAGAGTCCCTTGTTCCATTTCGGCTGAGTTTATGAGCATTTAGCTACTTAAATTTTTGGCTGCTCTGTACATGTCCACAAATGACCATAAAAGCTCCCCGGGTACTGATTTTGGTGGTTAAAAATCCAAATTTTAGCAGTAGGTAAATTCACAAATGCAGAATCTGCAAGTAATGACCATCAACCATGTATCTGGATGCATCAAAAGACTGCTCCAAATCAGGAAAAAATTAAGAGCTCACAAACCTAGATCACTAGAGTTAAGAGTTCTGAATGACTGCCTGACTCCAGAAGAGGCCAGATGACACTTATCGCCTTTTGGGCTTCAGAGTGGAAGCTGCATGTAATTCAGAGATTTGCAAATATCTTCCAGAAGACTGTGATTATTTCATGAGATAAGGGATGTAACACACTGGCCACAGGCCCTGGCACAGAGTTGGCATCCAATAGACATTATGATGTCATTCAACATAATTCATTCTATGTGATCTTTCCAAATGAAAGAAAAATACACTGTCTTAATGCATCTTTTCTTGGTGTTACCATAATAGCTTGGGTATCCATTGTCTGAGTAATCAAAGACCTAGATGTGTTTCATTAAAATTGGTCAGGAGAAAATTAAATTTTTAAAAGTCACATGGGCATTCCATCCATTTTTTATTTTCATGATGTCTGATTACCATAAGAGGTTACATCCTTTCTCTACTAAATTCGATAAAAACAAATATATATTTCATAATCTGATGGGCCTAAAGTCTTAGTAATAATTGGAAAATTGGTTTTGTGAAATAATAATGTCTTTAATTTTTATAGTACTTGGGAGAGAACAGATCCAATGATTGCTTGGGGACTGGACTTCTTTCCCACAATTGCAGTCTTCGCTGATAACAGTTTTGTTATTAGAACACTCTGAGCTCAACATATGTCTCAATAATTTTACAGGTCTTTGAATTTGAACAGAAATTCCTATGGCATTGAATATTTCAAAGCATCTCCTGCTGAAATAAGGTGCTATACAGTGAATCAGCTGGAAGAAATTTCACAGATAATCTAGGCCAATGTTTCCTAAAATGAAATATTAATCGGCATTATGGGGTGGGGAGGAAGTTCCTTGGTCAATTAAGTTGGAAAACATATTTCTTTTCTCAAATCTCAGAATTTTGAACATGCTAATGTGAACTATGAATTGCCAGGAGAGATAGGGCAGGGATGGTAAAGGATATAACAATTATTCTAGAAAAATATATTGAAGATCCAGTTAGGTGCTGGGGATATGATGCTGTGATCTAAACATGGGTGGACCTTGAGGGCACTATGCTAATGAAATAAGTCAGACAGAGAAAGACAAATACTCTATGATAGCACTTGTATGTGGAATCTGAAAAAGCTGAACTCATAGAAACAGAGAGTAAAATGGTGGCTATCAAGACTGGGGGTTGGGGGGAAATGAGGAGATATTGGGCCAAAGGGTATAAATTTCCAGTTACCAGAAGAATAAATTCTGGGGTTACAATGTACATCATGGAGATTATAGTTAATAATACTGTACTATATACTTGAAAGTTGCTCAGAGTATAGATATTAAATTTTCTTATTACAGAAAAATAAATGGTAATTATGTGATGTGATGGGGTGTCAGCTAATGCTACGGTGGTGATGGTTTTGAGATATATAAGTGTATCAAATTAACACATTGTACACCTTAAACTTATGCAATGTTATATGTCTATCATACGTCAGTGAAGCTGGGGGGGATAGGGGGAGAGAATTCATGAAAGGATTCAAGCAGGCGGAAAGGAACCTATGAGAGGCACATATGGTTGTGATGTAGCTGTAAGTCTGCCCAACTGGTTAGACCAGAGAAGGAAAAAAAATCAATATATATTAAATG